CTTATCTTCTCTTGTCTGTCCAAAACGTCATTAATAACGTCAAAATTGGAGCCACTCGAAAACATGAAAGTTGTAGGAACTTGTCTCAGATTTCTTGTGTAAAAACTTTAGCTCATTTGGACTTCTAGAACTCTAGATATGGCCAAACTACTGAACAGTGCTCGGGCTGGAGGACAGATTCGGGCTTCTTTGTTGTTGCTATAATTTGGACTTGAAAATAGCCTTTTTAGATCTTGGACTCCATATGAAAGTTGTAGGCCTATGTCTTACCTTTCCATCCATATAAAATAGACCTAAATATGATATCTATAGCTCCAGATATGACCCAATTACCGAACAGTGTTCCGGTTTGGATTGCACCAACATCTCTTTTCTAATTTTGGTCATCTTTTTGCCCTTGCAATTTAAGTTCTTAAAGTCATCAATCAATCCTTTCATTTATTTGATAGGCCTGCATTTAAAATGAACATTTACCATAAATTAAAGGTATCTTATATTATTATATATATTATTATAAAACATGCTTTAGTTAATGAGTTATTGATACTTCAAGTGCAAAATGATGATATAAAACCATGATAAAAATGTACTTTTAAGTACTAATCATGCATTGTCATGCATTTGAGATGAGTTTTCAAGCATTGGTTTATTTTCTCATTCTGCCTATCTATTTGTGAATGATACACATAGTTCATCAGCAGTTTTACCCTTAGCTTATTGAATAATTTCTTCTAGAAAATACTAGTAAAAACTATGTCCTTGTCATTCACTAGCAGCCCATGAAACCTATACAAATGATTGCCACATCTTGAGTTGTAAATGTGAAAATGCAATGAAATGCCTATATTTTATAAACCTATTAACCACTACCAATAGTGTCTTTGCTTTCTAACTTAAACAATTCTTCTATAAAATCTATAGTAAAGTCTTAGATTAGAAGCATACTCACCTCCTCTATACTGTGGTGAATATGGAGGTGTTACACGATGTATAATATCATGTAATTCTAAAAATTGATTTATTTCATTAGAAGTATACCAAGATCTCTATCATATCATAAAATTTTTATTTTTTTAATTGATTTTCTACTTCTCCTTTAGAAATTTTAAACTTGTCAAACAATTCACTTTTAGAGTTTTTCAAATAAATATAAGAATATATTGAAAAGCCATTAATAAAAGTTATAAAATATATTTTACCACTAGAAGTCAAAACATTATTACTATCACACAAATCACTCTACTTTATTGGATTAAAAACCTTTATAGGCTATTTAACTTGTACATATGGTTCATACTTTTTTTTATTTATTAATATGTGACTTGAAAATTAAATTTGAATGTATTATTTTCTTAATAGTGTTAAAGTTGACATACCCAAGCTTACTATGACATGAATCACAACATTCAACATTTGCAATAGATAAAGATAAAAAATAAAAAGTTTATTTTTTATCTTTATCTATTGCAAATGTTGAATGTTGTGATTCACAACATTCAACATTTGCAATAGATAAAGATAAAAAATAAAAAGTATTATTAGAAGAAAGCATTATACTTAATTTAGATCATTCAGCAAATAACATTTTCCAACATAAAATTTAAATATACTAATAACTATTTTATTAAATCCTAGAATAAGAGTAAAATTACATTTAACTAATTTTTCGCTCTCATTCCCTATACTCGTAGTTCATGTGCATGATATCTAATAATAAGATAAGAATAATCTTTTATCATCACGCATATAAATATTAGCTCTAGCATCCAACCACCAATCATTTGGATTGAAAGTTATATTTAACTCGAGGACGGAAATAAAATACATGTGAGTTGAGGAAGAAGACCTAGCCCCTACAGTTACTACATTAGCATGTGGTTTAAAAACTATTGAGATACTTAAGCTTTAGATAATTGACCAAGTCAATTGTTGTAATTCTTAGTAATATGATTTGTATTTACCATAAACCTAATATTTCATACCCTTTTTATAACTTATATTATTACTTTTAGGTCTATTGCTATTGTTGAACCTTTTCAGATCTTTTTTTATTAAAACTCTTAGTCGTTGGTTTGAAAGAGCCATTAACAACATGTGTCTTACCTTGAAGATCATATTTTTGTTGTTATAAGGCATAATGTTTTTCTTCAATTCTTAAAGCAACAAGCAATTTATATTAAAAAAAAAAAAGTTTCCATATTTTTATTTTAAACCTCTAGCAAAATCAAACCAAGAATATGGTATTTTTTTAATAAGAGAAGAAGCAAGAATCATTTGATTAAGTTACATTCTCTTAATTTTCATGTTATAAATAATATTTTCAAACTCATGCATTTAATCATAAATACTTTTTTTATTATCCATTTGAAAATCAAACCACTTTTCCACTTAATATCTTTTAAGATTTTTTTTTCTATACCATATTTATATTCAAATGCTTCTCATAAGATTTTTTTTCTATACCATATTTATATTCAAATGCTTCTCATAATTTAAAAGCAGTTTTAGTGTTACAAAAGACATGATAAATATAATCACACAAAGCACTTAAAATTTTATCTTTATACAAAATATTTTTATTAATAGTCCTTCAATCAATTAATTTATTAATTTTATAATATTATCAGCTTTGCGGTTTGGAAGAACAATAAAAGTTCTCATTTAATCAATTAATAATATTAGTTGAGCCTTAACTTCTCAATTCAACAAGAATTATCTTTTAACTTTCATATTACTTTATTAATTTTATTTTTAATTTTATAAATTATTCATATTAATTATATAATTAATAACATGATTATATTATATAAAAATAATTAAATTATTATATAATTATATTAAAATTAGTTTAATATAAAATATATTAAAATATAATTGACTTTAAAAATGGTTTTTTTACCATTAGCATATACATAAAGTAAAAAGTTATATTTATATTATTTAAAAAACTATTTTATCAATATAACTCTTCAAACTAGCATCTAAGTTGCTCTTACATGCTAGATGATAATATTGTTGGCACAATCATAACGAAAGCACTTGTGAATAATGATGAAGGCTTCAATGATGGCAAGTTAAGGTAATCTAATCTAATAAAAAATTATTAAAGATATAACATGATTACTTGTAACTCTCACTCTTACATACCAGCTGCAAGAGATTCGTCACTTGCAGGCCGATTTCAACAAGAAATAACAATTTGGAGAAAGTGATTGAATACAAGGAACTCCACTGCTAAAGCTTTTAGTTTCTTGAAAATACAGAGAAGAATCAAAAGAGAAACGCCAATGTCGTTGCCGGACCTCAACCGTACTTTAACAAGGATGAAAGACCATTAAGGCAAAAACTCCAACCATTTTAAGCGCCTTGATCTATTGCAAGAACCATAGAAATAACACAAAACACTAGCAGACAATTCGTCAAATACAGAAAAGAATCCAGTGAAAGTTGATGCCTTCTAAGGAGTCATGATGGAGAATAATCACCTTTTCTAACAGGTACTAAGAAAAATTTATTAGTTGTTATGGATTATTGTGTCGTTGATTTATGCTCATGGATGATTGGCCAGAAAGGTTGGCATTTCCTAGGATATAGGTTGGCAAAAGATAACAACTAGTAAGAAAGTTTATGCTTTCTAAGAAGTTACATTGGAAGCGATAATCAATGACAAAAAAAGTTAGATGCTTTTTAAGAAAATAGATTGGAACAACATCGTTAACCATTTTACTTAATGACTAATTTGTTAGAGATTTGGAGGAACTAGAGTACCTATAATTTAGAGATCAATTACTTTCCTATGACATAGTGTTTCTAAGTCAACCATGAAAAGAACTTTTAGGTAAAGAGTAAAATTAGAATAAACTAACTTTAGTTTAAGTTTCCTATAAAAAATGCTATGACCGAGATTATAAAAACTTTAGATTAAATTTTGGGTTTTTCATCACTATATCTTAGGTTGAAGTGTTTAGACTTTGAATATGTTCTTTATCTATAGACTAGATATTTCTTGTAAAAGATAAATAATGTTAGGAAATAGAAGGAGAATAAAGAGTGGAGGGAGTATATATAATGATTTTTGTTTGTGGTCTATGACTTTTGTTAATGAACATTGTGTTTATCTGGTAATCCAAGGTGTTTAGAAACCTTAATCATATGAGTTTATCTCGTTATGAGTAGAATAATAATATAAAAATATTTATTTTTCTTCACATGTAACTTAAAAAAAAAGAAGTATTTAGTTGTTATGTCTTATTATATTATTTATATTATTGGTGAAAAAGTTAATGTTGGGTGATTAAAAAAAATACCTTTTAAGAAAAATAAAAAAGATTTAAGCATCCTTTGAGAAGATGAGCCGGGAAGATAGTCATTTGCGAGATAGGTAGTACATCTCTTTTTAACACCATGAAAAGAATGCCCAGGCAGGGCTAGGCTAGATACTCATTTCTTTTCTTCTATTTGTATATATCTTAAAATTAAAAAAAAAAAGTTATTTATATAATTAATTAGTATGATTTTTAAAATAATCCAATTATTAAATATTTTTAAACGATATTGAAGTTTTTTAATATATGATTTTCTTTATTTTGTATATGATTTCAATCATTTGAACTCTTTAAAATAATTAATCTCATTATCATGGAATTAAGTAAGAATAAAAGTAAACTTAGGTTTCAAAAATCGATCTAAAGCAGTGCATGGCATCTTGTCATATACAGAAAATAAATATTTTTACTGAAACAAAAGATCAATACAATGATTAGAAAATGAAATTTTAAATATATTTTTTTAGAATAATTTAGATTGTTGAAATTCTTTTACATATACACTATTCTTACAAAATAATGTCCAATTTGTAATAATAATTTTAATTCATCTTCTCTCAATTTGTTCAATTTCACCCATCCAACTTTTTATATTTTTATATTCGTATAAAAGTTAATTTAATAATACCCTTACTGTAGATTAATAATTAAAAGCACACAAACAATATAACTTACCAGGTCAACTGACTCGAAAACAATAAAACCAGATTTTTCTAGTACAAAATCGATAAAAACAGTAACCTTTGCATAACAAGGATCCTGATTCACCGAGATTCAGTGACTGGAAAACAACAAAATCACCAAAATTGATAGGGAAAATAATTTATCACTCCTAAACACAATATTTCAAGATCCACTTCTTCATTCATCCTCCTGGCTGCGCAACCTGGCAAGCTTGTTCGTAACAACAACGTCAAGCTGAGCAGCTCGCTCCACGATCTCTTTTCTCTTCCTTGTTGACACATTGTGTGCTATCTCAGCGCAGTAAGTCCTACAAAACGTGATGGAGATTATAGATTAATGACCAAACAAGTGAATTTCAACCTTGGAATAACACCCTCCAACAAGAACTCATGTATTTTTCACCTGTTGTGCATCATCAGTACTTCAAGCTCCTTGACATTATGGACAACAAATTTCTTGAAACCGTTTGGAAGATAATGACGAGTCTTCTTGTCAGAACCATAGCCAATGTTGGGCATTAGAGTACATCCCTTGAACTTTCGTCGGACACGAGAATCAATACCTTTCGGTCTACGCCAGTTTGTCTGTTGAAGATTTAATTAGTTGTCAGCAGCAATTTCCTTGTAAAAGTTTATAAAGCATATTCATATAGTGATTGCAGAGACCAGCTGACTGGTAAAATAGATAGCCAGGCTAGCTAACATGAGCGTGTAAACCAAAACGAAAAGAAAACAGTGTCAGCCACTGAATAGTGTAAACACTAAAAGGTAATAAATTAGGTAAGCTTGTAGTAATTGAGAGAGGGGAGGAGACAAGAAAATGGCAAGGAAACAAATGAAATCAATAGCAAGATGTAAGCAGGGATAAAGTAACAGTAAAGCTTGTATAGACCAGCTAACTGTGTCGCAAAACCTGTTTGGAATTTGTTTCTGCCCTTAAAACGAAATGTCCAGCCACGAATATAGATTCTGGACATTAGATACCATGGGCAAACCTCTCTAAGAAATTTACAAAACAATTTTAATCAAATTCTGCAGCCTCAGTCGAAAGATGGTGATTTTTTATGATCATCACAGGATAATCAGAACTAAAAAACAATTTGCATCATAGATTGCAGAGGCAAAAAGAACGGAAAACATCAAATTTTAAAAAAAATACAATAAACAGCTACATAGATATGCAGAGAGATCAGATGGTAGTGCATGTATAAAATTCATCATCTTAATGCAGGAAAAGTGGATAAATATCATCACGCCTCCTTGCATATCTCCAAAATTGAAAACCATACTCGTAAAAATAAAAAAAATAAATGTACAAGGATAATAAGTCACTATTTGCCATGAAGGATCAGATAAAAAAAAGGTTAATCACCAACTTCCATTAGGAAATAAGACTGGGTGTCAAAAATGCTTCATCATATCCTTCAAACACAGCAAAAGAAAAAAAGACGAGAGCTACTATCTTGTCAATGAAACAAAAAAACCAAAAAAAGGTTTCACAAGTTAACAAAGAAATAAATAAAAAAAAGGGGAAAGAAATTGTTTCAGGTATTAAGGGATGAGCTTGAAGGTCAATCTTTATCACCACCTTCCATAAATAGATGAAGGAAGGACGGGTGTCAAAAGGTATCACCATGGCCCCCAAAATCCAGGGAAACAGAATCCAACCACACGCCCCAAAAAATAAATAAAAAAAACTAAAATTCAAAAAACATTTAAGAAGAAAAACACGAAAACAATAAAATTACTCGGGAGAAAAGTTGTTGTTTAGCCTATAGAAGGGATCAGATAGTCGATCGCTAGCTCACCATGTTGCAACCAAAGAAAGAAGCAAGTGAGACTGGGTGTCAAATGGACTCTTCATTTCAAGGCTAAAAGAAAAAACCAATTTTTGAAAAAATATATGAATAAAAGGAATCAGACAAAAAAAAGTCAATCACCACCTTGCATCTCAAAGTGCAAGTAAGACTGGGGCGACAACAATTATCATCATTTTCCTTTCAAGACCCACTCCTAAATGTTCTAAGCAAAAACAAAAGGATCAGCTACGTATACATATACCTTGACAGAGATCTTGCGGTCACTTTGTGGCCTCTTGAACTTCTTAACTCTCTTCTTAACAATCTTCTTCGTAAGCAACGGCACCGCCATTTTCACTTACCTTCCTGCGTTTAAACAAAACACGAACCACTTATCTTTGTTAGCTATTTACATATTATATTGTAATGGGATTTCATAAAGACTAGACGAAAAATAGATAGACAACTCACAGTGAATTGCTACGCCGCCGAGGTTCCAACAATGAGGTTTGGCTCCAGCTTTATATAAAGCGAGAAGCGAAGCATATTAGGGTTTTCTTCCACTCGGATCAAATTTAAAAAAGATCAACGGTGGAGAATAATGCTTCTCTTGATTACCTGGCATGAACTTGTTTGTTTGGAAACAGTAGATGGTGGTTGGGCCATAGGGGATTCTTTGGAGGCCCATTGTTTAGACAACGCCATTTTAGACGATTTTTCTTCTTTTTTTTCTTGGACTTTTTATTGTAGCTGTTTGCCCGTCCAAGTATTTTTGTTAAAAAAATTATATGTATATAATGATTTTAAACTCGGATGTTATTTGATGTATTAATTTAATTATTTTTTAATTATATTAGATTTTAAATTAAATTACATATGAATTAATCCAATCAATTTAGTAGATCTATTTAGTCAATCCAATCAAAACTTGTGATTTAAAAAAAAAAATCAATAAAGTTTCTTTTTAATATTTTTCTAATAAAAAAAGACAATATATATTAATTGGAGTAAATCAAGGCTAACGTGAATTGGCTCAAAGATATTTAAATACCTACTACTTAATTATTCTGAAGATAACAACAATTGGTAAATTTAATATGTATATTAAGGGTTTTAATGTCCTCAGATTTTATCCACGTCAATTTCAATTTTAATTTCAAATAATATGGATTTTTTGGATGCAAATATGACTGGAAGATGTCTAAAATTAATTTAATATAATTAAGTTTTTATAAAATTTAATTTGGTGTCACAAAAATAAATTTCATCTAAAACTAATTTTCTATTACAGATTCTTAAAATCCAATTTCTTTACATTGCAGAAACCTATACACGGTGAATTATATAAGAAATTCATTTATTAAATATTTTTGTATTATCACTCATTTTCATTTCAAATGAACAGCACAAACATTATCACATGAAAGCTTGCTCTTTTAATCGTCAAAATAGCTTCTTATCTATTTTTAACTAAACAGACTTTATCTCACGTGTTTTAACACCTTTATCTAAGAGCGGTAAAAAAAATGAAAAACTAATTAAACTAAAAAAATAAAAAAATTATAAAAAAATTAATTAAACTAATTAAAATTTAAAAAAAAATGATCAGAGTTTAATTTGGTTTAGTTTTATAAACTTAAAACTGAAAAAACCAAACCAAACCAAACTAAATTAAAATTAAAAAACTTGAAAAAACAAAGTGAAACTATTTTTTTTTTAAATTAAACTGAATAGAAAATCGATCGATTTCAATCCGTTTCGATTTGGTTTTAATTTTTTTAATTTTGATTTAGTTATATTTTTTTAATAAAAATCAAACCAAGTTGAAAATTGAAAATGATTATCCATTATTAAAAAGTAAATTTGTAATTTTAGAATACATGTGTTAAACATTCAAGAGTGAATTTATTTGAGATAGCTAACTTATTTTAGACTCAAAGTTATTTATAAACAATTTTTTTTCCAAAAAAAAACATGTCAACTTCTGACATGGTTGAAAAATATTTTAAAAAGTCAAAATTTCTTATCCTTATTTCTTTTACGTAAGTAACAGTTTATGCAAGTTGTTTTAACCGATATATATTTTTTTGTTTGACTTCGTGTGAGATTTCTCTAACAATTTTATAATCTTAAAAAAATTGTGAGCATTTCCTCGTGTGAGCATTTTTTTGGTAGCGTGTGAATACACGAGCCGAAGTAAATCATTAAATTTAAAACCATGGGAAGATAATGTGGAAGAATGGAATTAATATCTTAAAAAAATCTCAACATTTTTTATTCAATTAACTTTGATTAAACTTGAAGGGGAAAAGGTTGAAATTTTTTAAGATATTAATTTATTAGATATCAATCAATTTAATATTTATTCTCAAATGAAATTGCTCGGAAAAAGAGTATTTAATCTAATTTAGATCATAATAATGAACTATATTTAATTAAATATGGAAAGATTTCTATTTATTTAAAAAAAAAATAGAAAACAACTCTAAGAAACTTGAACCATTTCTCCATTTTCCATTTGAGGGTGTCACCCTGAGCAGGAGCATGCTAACTGATGTCTCCCACTGTTCTCTGTCCACCTCTCCACTAACTAGGTAAGACCCGCTCAAATGATTTTCCGGGAAAATAATTACATAGAGCTAATCCCATATAATTTGATTTACACACAATCTATACATTTTTTTTTTTTGGGGGGGGGAATAAAAAATTATTGTTATTCTGTTATTTCCATTGCACAAATCTTCTCCAGAGGGCAAGCATTCAAGGAACTGTAAATAGAAGAACGAAGTTCATATGAGTTGGGAGATGGCGGGACAACATCAATCCACTCCTTGTCAACCATCTCCACATGCAGATTTGACTTCGGGATTGCATAGAACTGGAGTTTATGGATTTGTTGAGCCAGCAACCTCATGAAATTCAAGGATAATATCATGTCAAAACTTTCTTCTAAATCTTTTGTATCTTCAACGATTTTGATCCCTATTTCTGCTTTGCGTGACTTGACAAACCCAAGTAGAAGTGGACTCCCAGCAACACAATTTTGGCTGCTACTGCATATCTGGAAGAAGGTGCTGCAACTAGTCAAATAACTGTCACGGCAATCACACACAGATGTGACGTTGAAATCTACTTGGTTTGCATATGAAACACAAATTTCAGAATCACTGCCTCGAGCCAACATCAATATGCATGAATGAAAGATAGATATATAGTGCTGATACAGAGCTCTATAATCTTCATACAAAGCTCTATCATTTACCTAGGCTGAAATCATCTATTCCCCAAGAGACGACCAAACGTTGTCTATCATGATGAGAAAGCCATATTTCTTTGGAAGAAGTTATACCATGGAGAATTTGGTGATCAGTTTGGTTATTTGAAAAGCATGTCTATGGTCTTAACATGCTGTGATTGCATATAAGAGGAGAATGATGATACAAAGTGCTACCAATATGCTGCCTGATGCAGATTGTTGATATCCATGTACAATCCTTTTAACATGATATTGCGAGGGAAAAAAAGGTGCTACCAATAGCAGAAGTTTTTTGTCCCACTTGTTTGTAATGTGGATAGTGTTAAATTTCATATTAACCAAACGAATAAAATTGAAAGGACATGTCTAACCTCAATATACTCCACGCCCATTTTGCTGAGATTCTCAGGAATATTGACAGAAGAAAGCAAGCTAATAACTCCTCCAGATCCAACTGGTGATTGCAGTATTTCCCATGGCGACTTCATCATGATTTTATGTCTCTTCCCTTCTTCTTCAGAACTACTAACAACTGGAATTTGCTCTTCTTCCAAAAACCATACCTGTGAGAGGGTTGAAACCTTTAAAGATCGAAGAACAAAGAACAGAATTGGACCGGTAAAGGAGAACTTGCAAGTTTTTTCTACTTCAACTAACACATGACAAGAACCAAGGACTTCTATTCACATGCATGACAAGTTGAAAGACACAGAGCTAGTAGTTCTGCAGAGATAGCAATCACCTTCCTGCATATTCCAACTCCATGAGAGTCTGTGTGCTAATAATGTTAGTAAAACCATATGATATTCAGGCTAAAAATAGGTTGAATATATAAGGAGACAGTCAAACAATTGGTCAGACCAGGTTGAATTTTGAGATGAAAGGCGGTGTTCCGCATTACAGTCCAAGCACAATTTTGAAATTTTTTTACTTTCTTTAGTTTCAAATTAATTTTAATTTTTTTTGTGTTTTTGGATTATTTTGATATGTATAAATTTAAAAAAAAATTATTTTCATGCATTTCCAAGCGAAAAACACTTTGAAAAGCAACCTATACCACACTCCTAAATTGGCACAAAATCCCAATAATTCCACCCTTATTAGAACAAAGCAGAATACAAGTAATCTTAAGGAAATCAATACAAAACTTCAGCTTAAGCTCTACCGATTGTCTGATATAGTGCTATACCATTACAGTATGCCTTTTGATCCACTTAACTCAAGAAAATCGAGCTGCTCAATAACCCAGCTTTAATCTGCAACTACATGTTATCTAAATAGGAGAGAGAAGTGACAATTCAACATCTACACTAACCTTGTTGGAGTCAAATGCGAAGTAATCATTATTTGAGAACAGCTTTTGCAAAGACTGGATTTCTTGTGCAGGGCAAACCAAAATCAACGGCACAGACACACGGTCTTCTATCTGCCATCAACACATGCTCGTCAAACCATTTTGCAAAACCTCTAAAGACTTCAGATAATGCCAAGGGAAAAAAATCCTTTGATCATTGCATGCTAATAAAAATTTCATCTAACATGCACATAACAACAGGAGGGGGAAATAACAGTCAGAGCCTCAAGACATTTGTAAATAGAACAACAAAAAGGATTTTCTTCCCATCACACTTATAAAAGAAAATTAGAAAGAGCTTTATGTACAAGACTTCAGAAATGAGTATCACCTTTACAAATGACTGATCATCAGAAAGTGATTTTTGAAGGAAGAAAAGCATTGAATTCTCCCTACTTTCAGAGTCAACTACTCCAGGATTATCACCTTTTCCTTTCTCAATGTCATTCAAAACTAAAACGATGGCCACTTTGCCTTTAGAAATGAGAGACAATCCCTTTTCTTGCAATTTGAAATTCGCTCCCAGTTTCTCTTCATTTGCACAAGTGATGAACTCCTTTGATATCCTCAAAGAACTTTTTACATGCTTGGTTCTTGTGGCACTGATTAACTCAGTAGCAAAGCATCTGATTCAAGCAGACAAAAAGACGAGGCTCAACACACCTGGCACTGGCACCACTTTAAGTCAAAGGGGAAATGAAGAGATTCGACAAGTCCATAAAACAAATAGTATGCAATGCTGATAAGGCTTCCCTATCTCAACAAAATTTTGACTTCATGAAATACCAACTAACAATCCCAGCTTTATCTAGAGAAATAAATACAAACATGATCTATGGAGCTACCAATATGAATTCAGGAAAATATGGACAGAAAAAACAATTATATTGAATAGTATCATGTGAGCAGCATATTCTTTAACCAGCAATACACAACATATGGGTTTTCTACAATTCAAAATAGTGATCAT